TACATTATAAAATTAGGGTGAAGCACTTTTCAGGTGTATAATTACAAGAAATTTTGGAATGTGTTTTTGTGTATCTGATCATAAAAAGCCACAGTACTCAAGTCCAATGCCCTTTTTTTCTAGTACATTAAAAAGCCCCTGAGATTATACATTTTTTTTTTTTTAATAATTTGAAGTTTCGGATCACAAGTTATACGGATTTGAAAACAAGTTTTTTAATGACCATAATATGAGTATTTCAATGTATGTGTATTATTTATCAATATATGTTCCTCCATTTCGTATGCATACACGGATGAAAGTTTTTTTGATTAGTTTTCAAACATGAGCATAGAGATTATGACTAAACATTCATTAGTAACACATTAATAAAAATTCGATTTTTTAGAGTAAAATATACATAAACAAAAAATATGTCTAAATAGTATCCTTATATTGTTGGTTAAAACTTTGGAACATCAAAGTTTTAGACCCTAGAATTAAGGCTTATTTTTGTATTTCAATATAAATAACCACATCTCAGAGTTTCATGGCCTACACCATCTGACAAGATCTATTGATGGATAGTCATTTATTTTATTTTTTCGTAAATATGTCGATGATGATATTAATAATAATAATAAATAAAAATAAAAACATCAATAATAATAACACCAAATGGAACGCCAGTAACGATATTAATACTAATTTTTTTGTATTACTTTTTAGAAATGTCAACATTATTAAAAGAATTTATTCTAGGTGTTTTTGCATTTTCATGTCAGTATCCGTACTTGCCATAAGTACGTCATGTGTGCTGGTCAGTGTATACAAATCACTATAACATTCGACATTTGAAAATATTAGAATAAAAAAAAAATTGTAAACCCGAATAAATTAAATCATATTATTAGATACTAAATACAAATGAAACCTATTCTTAGATACTAAATAACTGTCAACAAGTGAATTTTGTGTATTTCATCAGAGCATCTGCATATTTGATTGGTTTGTTAATAAATATATTCATAATCAGTTATCAAGGGCAAAGACTTATAAATGACAGTGGTAGTATATTTGATGCCGCGTAAGTTACATTGAAAAAAATTGTTTTCAATTTGTCAGCTTGTAAAATACACATATTTTTTCATTTAGTTACAATAATGAATGGTACTTGTGCTCGAAAAAATGTAAGGATTTACTGAGACTATTAGTACTGCGCAGCAGAGAGCCCTCTTTTCTAACTGCAGGTGGCTTCAATACCGTGGGTTACGAGAATTATCTAGGCGTAAAGTTTAAATTATTTACTGTTTACTTTAATTTTATTGATACTTTTAACGTAAAAATTTCTTTGAATGGAAATAAATTTTAATCATCTTGCACAGTCATATTAAAACAATAACCTAAACTGTATTTAATATTTTCAGATCATCAAAGCTGCGTCATCGTTCATGACAATATTTTCAAAGGCTAGCGAATAATAGTTTTTGAAATATTTGTATTATTAAAATAGTCTGTATATTATGTAGTAGTGTAGAAGTAAATCAACAAATAAATTGTTAAAGTGATCAATGTGTTGTGCAGATTATTAATAAATCTCATTACGTAAGAACTTAATCATGATTAAAAAATACAGCAGTTACCATATTCGCTATGCGCATCTACGGTGCTACCCTCATTGTCATTAATTTCCTATGTTAAGTCTTATAGAGCAAAATAGTTGAAGCGGCTGCCGTCGACAAAAGTTCTTTACATTCTCATAAGAATATGTGTTAGTGACAAGTAGCGCCAAATGACAGGCGCATAGCGAATATATGGTACATTGCTATTTCCTACAGTATATGACACCATTGCACCCCTTGTGGTATACTTATAGTATATAGGCGCGTTCTAAATTTTTCATACCTGGATTGTTTGTTCCAAAATTGCAAAGAAATTTTTACTGGTTATTGATCGCATACTTTGTTGTTTCCACAATCTATGAAACTTTCTGTTGTACATTTTTGGAACAAACAATCAATGTAGGTAACAAACGGTAACTTTTGAACACACCCTCAAATAATACTCACTCTCCCCTGCCAGAAGTAAAATGACTATTTTTTATAGTACCAAATTTAATAGATTAAGTACCAATATTATTGAAGAAGATGCGATAATTTTACTTGAAAAGAGGATAAATAAATGTACACAAATGCATACCCGCTCTAAAAGTACTGATTTTTTCCCTTATTAAGAAAAAAAATCAGGGGATCCTTATTCAGGTAAAGAATTCAATTTTCTGCTCATCAAAAATTATTTTATAATCCTTCGTGAATAATATAAGAAAGCAATATTGACAGGAACGTGGACATACATAATGAATATTCAACGAAAATCTGGTAAGTTTCGGTAACTTTAAACAAAAATGTATCCGATAATCACACCACCTTTGTAATTATGATTGATAATTTTTTTTTGTAATTATGATTGAGTTCCTAAGGAATTTTTATAGGATTTTTCAGCGATGTTTATAGTGTGTGTCATAATTCTTAACAATGTTTTTGTTTTTTTATGGCTTCACTTACTTGCATTAAAATTATCCAAACTATCCATCCGATTTGTTATTTATACATTGTTAACATTACGTTATTTAAAGACTGTTCTTTATTTGTATCTTGAAAAAGTGGATGGATAGATCAGGATTCCACTGACAATACTTGTATTAGATTATAAATATAGTGAAAGTGGTCCCTACTGACGCCTTGTACCTCGTTCCAGCAATAATTTTCAATACCTACTAGTACATTATATTGACAGTCTTCATAATTTGCATTCTGTATTTTTTTCATTACTATTTTTAAAAGTATCTTATCTCACCCAAATTATTATTAACGTATTTTTACAAAACAATATAATAATAGGTAGGTAAATAAGTTGGCGTGATCACGTGATCAATCTTTCACGAAAGATTACAAGTTGAAGTGTAATATAGTATTTTGAAATTTTTTGTAACAATAGTATAAATTTACACAGAGCATGTGTTAATTATCTTGTGTGAATTAGTGCTTCACATCACATGATAAATCAAATACATATCAATGTCTTATTTGAAATTTCAATGAACATTATTATGAGAGCATTATCAGGGGCAACATAGTATAACAAGAGGAAAACCGAAAAATTATGAAATCATTCGTTAAAGAATGTTTAACGTCTACGATGCTTATTTGATAATTCATTCAAATCATATTTTTTTAAATAATGCTTATAGTTGTATTAAACATGGAAAGGTAAAAATTTTTCTTGCACTGCATATACTTGACAAAATGTTATTCGACTCTTATCAGTGCAGTTTGTTCACGTAATATTCTGAAGCATCGAAAACATCATATTGGTTGAGTATTCGCACATTAATTTGCCTTATCTTACTTTTTTTCAGAGATAGGGAGAGGTCGATTTTAGATTATCTTCATATCGTGCTAAAAAATGTTTCAATGTTATGTGTACTCTACTGTTCATCTTTCTTCATTTCCCAAGCGCGTAAAGTGAGAGATTGTTCGATTTGTTGTGATTTGATATTTAGTTAAAAGACAAAGCGAATCCGCTGGTTAAGCAACGAAAATACTGTAGTTGGAAGATATAAGAGGTGAGTTTGTTCATCCGTCTAATCAGAGTAATTTTTTAGCGTTATTTTCTGATATGTCAAAGTTATCCGTGATTTTTTACCAATCGCATCTAGAAAATTCAAATAAATCAATATCATTTTAAAGTTAACATCTGTAAAAGCTTTTGCAATGATTCTAAGTGTTCTCCAACTCAAGTTTACCAGGACATCATGATAGTCTAACAAATATATGTAAACATCCAATGTTATTTCATCCATACAAATCTTTACTTCTCGATCGTTGAAATTATTGTTGCTATTTTAATATACTTTAATTTCTGCAGAACAATGAAGGATAAAAATCTCACAACTGCAGGACAGTCTTGGCGCCAACCAGATGCTCCTTTGAATGTGTGGCAAGTCGTTGAAGGCCAGCAGAAACTTGAAGACGGGACTACGAGACCGATAAAATTTTCTATCCAAGAAGTGCCAGAAAACAGGCATGAGGAAGCGGTGGACTTTATGATGAAGTATTTTGTGGATGACGAGCCTATGTCCAAATACTTGAGTATGAATTTTTTTTTATCGATTGTCAATTGCTATATAATAGCCAATTTTTAACGTAATAAAGAGTAAACGGAAACATTTTCAATGCAACTAATGTTTTCGGCCTTAACTTGATACAGATTCGTTTTAGATTAAGTAAACGAAAGTTTATTTACAAAAATCATCACTATTTATTCAAATAGAATCGTATAGCTGTTTTGGTACACCGTCTTCTTCAGACATTGAGGTTTTTAAACTAGACTACATTTGGCTTTATAACGTTATTCCATATACATCACAGTATAGTTGTATCGTTAAATAAACACAACTTTTACATGTACTCTATTATTCAATCACTAATAATAATTGGCAATCGTAAAATTTTATAAGAGCAGCAACTGTGAGCTTATTTTCCACGTCACCTGTAATAAGATCCAAATATAAACATTTCAGCTAAAATAATTAACCACTCCCATACAAACATATTAGCTTAAAAATTTTTAAATGTAATAGTAAGCAATCGACCGCAAAGAAAGTTGGGAAACAACGAGTTAATTTTCGTTGCAGATTTTAAAAATGATTCCGATGCCAAGGATAGCTTGCGAATCACGTGGAATTATTGTTTACAGCAAGGAATTGTCGAGGCGGCTTACGTGCTAGATTCGAACAGTGGGATATCAGAATTAGCGGCCGTTAACATGCTGTACGTGGCAAACGACAAAACGGAAAAGGAAATGGGAGAGTTGAGGGTAAGGTGTACCAAAGAATGATTCAAACGCAACTCGATTTGCGACTGACCAGTGATTTGTACGTATAGGCGTTATACTTATAATTATTTCTTTGTAGACAAAGTATAAGTCGGAGAACTTCAAGAAAATACTCGACGAGATGGAAAAGTTGTCAAAGAAGGCCGATGTTCGCAAAGTTTATGGGGTTGATGAGTATATTGGTGCTGTAGGACTTAGTGTTTCGCACAAATACAGAGGGCAAAAGTTGGGATTACACATGCTGGAGGCGCGGTGAGCATGTTTTTTTTAAATTAATTTTCTTTGTTCTGCATTGATTTCAACAATTATTCTATGATATTTAATTTTGAGAAATAATTTTAAGTGAGTAAATGATGTGCTCTATTTGCAAATAATTTAATTGAACCTATATGGTTCTTATCCACCTAAAAAGTGAGTGTTTGTAAATATTATGATTCAGCATATCATTTCGGTTATGAATGTCACAATTATTAGTTAACGTCTCATAAAATTATGAGTATCGTGTATTAGTTAATTCTCTATATCATGCATTTTTATTTTCATCGAGTTCTTTTAGGTTTAATATTTTACAAAAACGATACAGCTAGGGTAACTATTATAACATTTTTTCCGACGATTAATAAGATATGTTCAATCAAGCATTAGTTTTTTTTTTGAGAAATGGTAAACGTAGTTTATTTCCATATTATTAACTCAATATACTAGTAGCTCAATCTAGGAGTTTTCTACAGTTCCGATATTAAAAAGTCAATTTTTAATACACTATATCTTGAAAATACAGATCAGCTTTTAAAAAGTTTAACTACAGAAAAATACTACCTTCAAAAGTATATAGTACGCAAAGTTTAAAAAAAAATTACAAGAAAAGACCATTTAGTACATTATTACTTAAATATCATATTGAATATTATTTCATTGAATATTATTCAATATAATTTTATTGAATATTATTATAAAAAAAAGTTATTGGTGTTTTTAAAAATAATACAATAAAAGAATGCAATAAAAGCATGTAACTACACATGATAAAAATATATTTGTTCATTTTTATAGACTTCAGCATATAAATTATTGTGTTATCCACTGAAACATTAATTTCATCTTAAAAATGGTATTTACAGACACGACATAGGAAAGAAATATGGTATTCCAGCAACCTCAACAGTATTTACAGCACGCTCATCTCAGGTTTTGGCAGAACGAGCGGGTTACCAAACAAAATCCATTCAAAAGTATTTAGATATTCTTGATCAACACGGCAAGTTATTCTTCGCTGGCATCGAGGCCGAGGATATGAGAGTCATGATAAAAAAATTGTACTAAACTGTTATAAACTTATGCACAAAAATTAAAGTAAAATAATAAGCCTGATTAATTAGCAGGTTAATTTTCTACCTTGTAGAATTACATGCTGACCGATTTCATTTTCATTCTCCAACCATAAGTTTATATTGATATTATTTGGTGAATATTAACAAAAATAATATTTTGCTGATAACAAAAAAGTAGTGGATTTCAAAACATACACCTTTTTTTGTAACCTTTAGTGTAACTTATACTGTCTGTCTATCTACATGCCCTTGTAATCGATTTTTAATTTATTTTTAGATTGTCTTGCTTCAAAAGGATTTTTAATTACAGTCACAATGCAATGCGATATTAATGTATTGCACAACATTTTTTTTCTTGGTTACGTTACTTTCATTTCGCCCCTGACCAACCGCATGTTGATGACTCGGTCTTACCTTACTCGAATGTATCTACTTGAAACTATACTGCGGATTATTTAGTTCAATTCTAAATGTAAATCATAACTACAATCCAAAAATAAAAATGTACAAAAATTCTATAAATATAATGTAAATATTCCTTTATTTATGAAGTAAAAAGTCGTAAATATTTTTTTGTCGTCAAAAGGGGTGCCCAATTATGTGCATTGTTATGAAATGGTTATGCAACTCACAATTTTATCAACCATGCATAAGATAAAAATTTTCTGATTTTCGTTGTTAATCAAAGCATATTATTATCCCTTTTGTTCTTTGTACCGTAGNAATGTCATGTATTCTTATTTTTTAACACAATTATGTTGATTGGAAAAAATATTTTATACGATTGAACAAGAAATTGATTAAAAACAATTTCATACTTCGAACGATTTTTTACAATGAACTCAATACTAAAAATCAATATTTAACAGAATTATGAGCATGGACAATGATATAATAATCCTGTGGCATTAGAGTTTCTAATGAAAATTTTCATAAATAATAATTAATTTAATACTATTACATAATTAACTTCAAACTAATCATCCCCCGAGTTATAAGCTTATACTCTCCAATACATATGAATTAAAATAGTATTTATTTATACAGAGTTTTAAAAATGGTGCATTTCAAACGTCCGCCTGGCCCATTGAATGTCTGGAATGTAGTTGACGGATTTGAGGTGCTTGAGGATGGAACAAAGAAACCTGTCAAGTTTTCCATTCAAGAAGTCCCAAACACTCCCGAGCACAGACAAGAAGTCATCAATCTCCTGTGCGATCATTTTTTGGATGACGAGGCAATGTGCAGATGTCTAAGTTCGTATTTATATGGCATTTATCATACACATTACTATGAATCAGTTGGATTGTATTATTTCTGAAAATGATAAATTTCACTGTAGAATTAAAAAAAGATCCCGATGGTGTGGACGACTTCAAAACTATGTGGAACTATGGAATGGATCAAGAAGTAACTGTTGGTTGTTACAAACTTGACTCAGAGGGAAAAATAGGAGAACTTGTTGGAGTTAACGTGGTGTTTATGGTGACGGATGAAACGAGCAATGACTTTGCCAAGTTTAAGGTACATTTTTGTTTTCTTTAACAATTATTTTATGTACTCTAATTAAGTTTTGTGGATCATCGCATATGGTTAGAGTATAATGGCAAATATTAGCAATACTTATTTATTGTTCTCCCCTTGAATGTTTGATGATTGAAGATTGCCGCATTCAAATTAGGCGGGCCTTTCGGTGATTTTTTTTTTCCTTTATGAAAAAAGTGATAAATTTTTAAGTGCTTAAATAATTTATTAGAAAAAATGGAAAAAGTAACTTTTTTCTTTGCAGGCTGCCTTCAAAAGTGATAATTTTTTGACAATTTGGAAATTTTTCGAATCATTGTTACAAAAATGTGATGTCAAGAAGATATACAATGTAGACAAATACATCAGCTCCATATGCTTATGTGTTAATCCAACATATCGTGGTCAAAAGTTGGGATTTTATATGCTTGATGCAAGGTAAAATGATTTTTATAATTTATTGAGTCTTTTTTTTTTGCAGTAGTTTTTGAGATAAAAATTTTAAATTTTCTCATTGTATTTTTAATGTGTCAATTCATTGATAGTTTAAATTATCTAGTTATCATTGCTGATATGATTATTATTGTATATTTATTATTTTTTAATTAATTTAATTATTTAAGCCTTACATACAGTGCTGCTTAAATGTATAATTTTTATAATATACAATTTATATAATATACGTATGATACTATTTCAAGTAAAAATATATATGTCCACAAAATAATTTACTTGCAGAAAGGAAATGGCCAAAAAATATCAATACACAGCTACGTGCACTATGTTTACGGTACCAACGTCTCAGAAGCAGGCGAAACGTGCTGGGTTTGAAGACGGCATCGTTATCCACTATAATGATGCTCTCGATGACAAGGGGAATCCAATTTTTCCCAACATCGAGTCATCTTGCGTTAAGTTGATGATGAGGAGACTTCCTTGATACATTCGTCGTGACAGATTTTTGTATTTTCTGTGCTTTCAACACAATGTTCATACTCAATAGACCGATACGTATTTTTTTCACCTTTAAGAACTTCTTTACGAGTAACCAAATCAAGAAAATAATAACTTTTGGTGACTATAAAACAAGAAATTTTGTTGTTTCTCGATTTTTTAGAAATCTTAATTTTTAGATTGTTATAATAAAGATAATTATACTTTCTTTTGTTTATATTGGTAATTAATAAAGTATTAAAAAAACATAAAGCACTTTATATTGCTACAAGCACTATTTTCTCTCAAGTCATTCAAGCACGTGCTCTCCGATAAGTACATGTCAACCCATTGAGCGTATCCGTTTACTATAATGCAAGCTAAGTAATTGTGGTTCAATTGCGTGCTATTACACACATATACATGAATTGCGTGATATATGTTACATTGACAGTCGTCAAGGTACAAAGTGGAATTGCAATGCATATCATCTGTTATTACAACGTTAATTGGAGTATTACGTTTGTCACAAGTCACGTGGGCCCTTATTATCTTTACAATTTAGAGAAATAAAATTCAAAAGTCATGATAACTTGAATAAAAAAAAAGATTATCACTATCAATTTTCTACATGCGTCATTACCTCTGTTATATTTAATCACTCTTATCAAGTCACACTCAGGGATTTACATACACGTAAATCAAGAGATAATGAGTGCAAAAGGGGGGCAAGATATCAGATAACATGTGTATGCACTATTTTATTTAACAGTTTCCAATATTATACCGTATCTCTGGGACAATAGTATAAAATTAATGAATTATCAACAAATTTCAGCTATTGTTTGACTCGTTTTGTCCAATATTTTTGTATTCAATTATGTGAGTTTTTTTATTCAATTAGTGAATTTCCAGTGGGTACTGAATTCGAGTAAATATCGAGATCAATATGTTAGTAAAATACGTTTCAATAAGTGTCATAAATACTTTTAATTAGACATCATACCCGATTGCACGATAATTTTGTCATCAATGTATAAATGTATTAAAAAATATGAATAAAGTGTATATGGACGTATTTATTTGGGTATGAAAATCCCAATATTGTATTTATTTTTTTCTGAAAATGAGTCATTTTACAGTGCGGTCAAAATAAAATTTTTTTTTCAAGCTGACTCAAATGGGAATAACTTATGAAGTTTTCAGTTGAATTCGATAGGCTCGTAAATAAACAAATAATCATCTTTTGATGAATAATAGAAAAAAAATAATGTAAAAACTAACGTAACAGCTTACTTATTATATAATCTGAATCAACCTTTCTTTACTTCTTTTTGTTAGTCTAAATCAGATTGGAAAAATTTTAGGTTTGAAAAAGACTTTAAATTTTCTAATTGCCAGTGGGAGTAATTTTTATAATTACTTAACTAACTGAGTCGTTGCTAAACTGCAACAAAGCGTTAATTAAAAATTTTGTCCAAAAAGACCTTAGCACGAATTCTATCCAATAAGATATCTTAAAAATTTCTAGTTTGACAATTTTTCACTTAATCCAAGATTATCTAGTTTGCTTAGTACCATTTGAAAAATATCTTCTTCTTTATATAAATATCAATATAAAAACTCGTCAAAACAATTTATATGATCGTAAATACTCTACAACTATGGACAATGATATAATAATCCTGTGGCATTAGAGTTTCTAATGAAAATTTTCATAAATAATAATTAATTTAATACTATTACATAATTAACTTCAGTATAAAG